AGGAGTTTGAGACCAATCCAGGTGACATGGTGAGACATCTATTTCTACAAAAAAAAAAAAAATAAATAAAATAAAATAAAATAGCCAGGCATGGTGGCACACATCTGTAGTCCCAGCTGCTTGGGAGGCTGAGGCAGGAGGATTGCTTGAGCCCAGGAGTTCAAGGCTGCAGTGAGCTATGACCGCACCACTACACTCCAGCCTGGGCAACAGAACAAGACTCTGTTTCTGAAGATTAAAAAAAAAAAAAAAGAGTTAGATAGTGCTAAGTTAGAACATAAATATATGTAGAGATATCACTTTTGTGATAGCAAACTGCCTCCAGAAGTTGATAATTTGGAAGTTAAATATTTTTAGGGTGTTTTTGAGGGAAAACTTGAGACTGTAATTTAACCCCTAGAAACCATCAGAGAATGTCCTTTGTAGTAAGTCTCATATCCCTTCTGAAACTCGGGCCTCCTGGCTTCGGTCCTGCAGTTGACACCCTGCGGAAGGTGGGAAGGAGTCACTGGGAGCTCCATGTATCCCATTCAGTTTCTTACTTGTAAATGGAGAAGGGCCTAGAGATGTCTGCAATAAATTTTCCTGTCTGTCTGCGTCCACGTGGAGAATGGATAGGTGCACGTGTTAGAGGCACAGAGTTCTCCTCTCCATGGCCTGGAGCCCCTGCCTGCCCAGTTGGTGGGTGCCAGGGCAGCCAGCAGGCTTGGCAGTGGGTGGGTGGAGAAGGACATTCCGGCAGCTCGGATGTCTTCAGGTATGCAGACAGAGCTAGATTAACACGCCTTCATCTTCTGCTGGGCAGCAGTAAATCTTTAAAATGCCACTCTTTTCTCTCCAGGGACTGTAAAAAAATGCTTGTCGATTTTCTCCACCTATTCCCCTTTCTCTCTCGTCCCTCCTCTCTTTGAGAAGATTAGCACGGCTAATCATAGTAGGAACATCCCTTGTGGCGCACTGGAAAGAATTTACTCTCAATTTCAGGCTCTCTGGTGACATGAAAGCTTTGTTCTGGAATCTTTCTGTGCAATTTCTTTAGAGTCTGGAACTACTCCCCAGTCCCAATAGGGGAAGAATTTTATATAGATTTAACGACTTGTATTTGTTAAAATAGTTTGATAAAACTCAGATTCTCTTTTTTTTTCCTGCTTTTAATCAGATTTTTCTATTTCTTTTATTTTTCTTCTACTGAATTTATTTTTAACTATCTTCTTTCTTTCCTCTATGTTTTATTGAGTTTATGAAACACTTCATAGCCTACTTTTCTTCCTTCTACTTAAGTTCTTGTTCTTTTAATTTTTCTTTTTTTTTTTGTTTTTTTGTTTTTGTTTTTGTTTTTTTTTTTGAGATGGAGTCTGGCTCTGTCGCCCAGGCTGGAGTGCAGTGGCGCGATCTCCACTCACTGCAAGCTCCGCCTCCCGGGTTCACGCCATTCTCCTGCCTCAGTCTCCCGAGTAGCTGGGACTACAGGTGCCTGCCAACACGCCCGGCTAATTTTTTGTATTTTTAGTAGAGATGGGGTTTCACCGTGTTAGCCAGGATGGTCTCAATCTCCTGACCTCATGATCCACCCGCCTCGGCCTCCCAAAGTGCTGGGATTACAGGCGTGAGCCACCACGCCCGGCCTCTTTTAATTTTTCTTGTTTGTTTCCTTTCTTTTTTTTTTCGAGACAGAGTCTCACTCTGTCACTCAGGCTGGAGTGCAGTGGTGTGATCTCGGCTCACTGCAGCTTTGACCTCCCTGGCTCAAGTGATCCTCCTGCCTCAGCCTCCCAAGTAGCTGGGTCTAGGCATGCACCACCACCCATGGCTACTTTTTGTGTTTTTTTGTAGAGACAGGAGTCTGCCTGTGTTGCTCAGACTGGTCTTGAGCTCCTGGGCTGAAGTGATCCTCCCGCCTTGGCCTCCCAGAGTGCTGGAATTATAGGCATGAGCTACTGTGCGTGGCCTATTTTTCCTACTTTCCTTTTTATTCTGTTTCCTAGTGACTTTTCTCATTCTATTATGTTCCAAAGGCTGTTCAAAGTCACCTAAATTCTACCTACCATGTAAAATTTTAAAAGTTTTCAGCAGATAACCATAGGCCATAATAAACTAGATCTAAACATACATACATGGCGTGGTGTTGAAATCAAGTAAAATTTTCAAATTGGTCTGACTCACATGAGTGATGAGCTTGATAGCTACTGTGTCCATACCATTAAGTTATAAATGATGAACAGGTTTCATAACTGTAATTAGTATTATTTTTGTACAATTGAATCCGGGTTTTTTTCTTTTGTCAGTTCTCTGTTATCTGTATAGCAAATAGCCCTTGTGTTGTATTTCCCTCAGATTTACTTGAATATTTAGTAGGATCTCTGTCTCATATACACCACCACACCCCTCTGCTTGCTTAATGAAACACAGGTGTGCCCAGTAATACTCCCAGTCAACCATTCGGCCCTGTGTGCTTCTCACTGCTTTCCTCCGTGTACCACCCCCATCCCTGCACCTGAGGCCCGGGGTTGTCTGTGCTCACCTCCTCGTCCCTTGGTTTTCCCCTCCTTCCTGTTCACCCCCAGTTACTCATCCTCCATCCAAAAGGCATGGTCCCAAGTACAAAAGTAGGACACAGGTTGTGAATACTCACTCTACAAAAATATGTCAGCATGGCCCACCGTTCCACATCCGCGCCTGAATTGATCCTAACCCTTGCTGATTTGTGTTTAAAAGCCTGCCGTCATAGGGAATAATTCTTTTTGAAAA